TTATCTCAGATGTTAGTTGTTTAAAAGTGAGAGAGAACATGAACTTGTGCACTGGTTACGAATTTTTCCTGCGTATAAAACACTCAACTATCAAAATTGGATATAGAATTTGATTGAATATTATAATTTAGTAGTGCGCATTATGGAAAACGAGAAGTGAATATAAATATGATTATATTTTGACAACTACCAATCTTCGGGGCAAAAAAAATTTCATCGATGCCTTATATTTAGCAGTTACAACTTATCAAAAACAACGATTTCTTACTTACATAAATAAGTACGATTACACAATTAGATTCCGTCTCGTTTTTCACAATGCGCCACCATATTGACATCTATACACTTAACGCGGTACAAAAACTACTATAAAAACAGCCTTACAAAATAGCCGACAAAGAGAAACTTCTAGAGAATACTAGAATGGACACATAGGACATTATAATTTAGGCCGAGTACTACTAAAAGGATTTATCACTCGATTTTTTACAACGCTCACAGTCTGAATCTTAAACATTACGTGTATTACCTATAAAATAAAAATTACACGATGACTTTTAATAACACGACGAGTATTAGCCTTCTGAATATTAGCCGTACAGTCGACAGCATCAGATTTATAAAAAAATACCAAATTTCTATCTAAAGTCTTCACGTCACTTACATCCCTTGCAGGATATTCAGTATGCATAACCCATGCCTTTCCCTTTCCTAACATTTTTTTGCTTCCGATATCACCTTCCAAGAGCACGCGATCAAATTGATCGTGAAAGATCGCCTTATTGTCCATCCCCATATTCTATATTCTTACATTTTTATGTATCAGTTTCATTAATCTGTTTATCCGACATTTCCTCGACATATGCGAACTAACGGAACATGCCATAGTATGTTTTTACTCCGACACTACCATTCGTATATCTATAGTCGAGAGCAGTAATTACTTGAGAATGTTGCATAATTTAAGCAGGTATTTTTACGAAATAAACAAGAATTTTAATGAAGTAAAACTGTTAATAGCAATACAACATTGTTACTATTATATAACAGTTCTTATTTCATTCAAATGATTATTTTTTCGTTGAAAACATTTGCTTACGTAATTACTACTTTTACTTTTACTCGACTATAGATACGGGTGTATCTAAGTTACGAACGTAAACTGAAATACTAAGAAGATTCTACGAATGGAACGCATCACGACTGCAATATTTTACTAGTGTGCTCTCTCAACTCTCGCAACCGCACAGCGGCATTGTGTATGGCGAGATGAGCTTTCTTCCTCAACGTTTTGCTGCCTAGAAGTTTTCCCGAAACTTCATTTACATTGTTGTCAGTTTATTGCACACATTCACCTTTCTATGTCAGAGGTTCCGACATTAGATCATCGCCTTTTTGTTCATCTCTCTCAAATACTATATTGGTTTTCAAATCTATCTTAAACCTTAAGCCATTGATCGTTAAATTCAAAATAGATTGGAGAAATTTGGTCTTTTGTAGTAACCTGTGTATAAAGTTGGTAAAAACAGCTAGTCATAAAATTTTCTCCAATCAACTAAACAAGGTAAATTCAAATTTTTAATTATACTTATATACATACCATTAAAGGTTCAAAATCGCAATATACTTTAAATTTGCTTGATAATAGAATAAACGATTCTTTGATACGGTGCATACCCGCTTTGCTCTGATACGGTGCATACCTTACATTACATTGATTAATTTTATTTATGGTAATATTGACACCGTTTTTCCACATTTGAAGACACATAGACACATTCAATGGTTACGGGCAATAGTGACGTTTCATTTGTTTTGCTCTATTGACAGATGGCGTTGTTGTCCTAATTATTCGATTTTATTTTTACTTTATCAATGAAAATAAAATATGCATAGTTCTGTATTATCTGTTTGACGCGTATAACGTATTTGACATTTAATTGACTTTTATTGTAAATATTAAAAAAAATGGTTCGAATAATTAATTACGATAAGGACAAATAAACGCATATTAAAAGAGAAATAAATAAAATCCGTGGTTGAGTTCATTACTAATATTAATCATAGTGAAAAGCGCAAGCAATAATTTTATAATCATCTTCATTAATAACAAAATAAAATCAAATAATTAGGTAACTATCGCCATCTATTGAACAAATGAAACACTACATCTTCGTTTTTTCTATCTTATTAAATTGACGACGACTAAAATGTCATCGAATCCATTCCTTACATAAATGTTTTCAGAGTTTTTATAATTATTTTAGACGGCGTATAAAGCCATATTCACACGGAGCTACAATGACTGAACTAATCAGTAACTATTATTCAATTAAATAAACCAAACGACACACTACACTAATCAAGTTTCTAGGTAACATATTGCTGACCGGTTTCATCTCAATGAGAATGAGAGAGCAGTAAAGCAACACATTATTAATTTGAGTTTATATTATAAGTTGTTTTCGCTATTTGGATAATACTATACACCCAATATAATATATTTATACAATAAAAAAGATTGTGATTTTTAACAATATATATATATAGAAAGATTTTGATTTTGCCATTGTTTATTAAAGCAATAATAATAAACTAATAACTTCATAATTCAGCACTGTTAAATATGTTATAGTAATTTGCAAAATCAGGTACTTTAACGTAAAGCAAAGCCGTCGAGCAATTTTAGAGGGTACAATATTTTCTGTCACCAAAGTATATAAACGTCACATCTTTTTATGTTCAAATAATTATCATATTGATACAAGAGTTCATTTGTTTCACGTATTCAAATACGCTATAAAAAATCCGGTGCGGGCCAGTGGACGTTCACCATTAATTACTTCAAATCGATTACGATCTATGATTATAGTCCGATTCATACATATTAGTGATGTACAGATACATGTCCGAAACAGTGTTTCAGTGCTGTGTTTGTTCTTCTATTCATACATATATAAAAAATTATATATAAGAGAGAGGTAATTGTGACTGTTGGTTGCCATCTGAACAACCACAACCACTCTGTCAAAGGTGAAAGGCAGAGAATAAGTCGTGCGGATCCCACAAAAAAAAAGTCCCCTCGCAAATGACGACTCCAAAAATAATGAGACGCGTTTTAAAATAATGTATGATAGAATAATTAACACTGATACGGGCCTGTTCGGTTAGTGTACCAGAACCGTGACTTCACTGATATGTGGGAATAAAGCCTAATGGATGTACAAGATGTACAGACAATTAAATCGCCTCAAGTGTTACGCTACGTAACCTTTGGAGCTGACACTGGCACTCAAATTATTGGAGTAATCGACTTTATTAATTACTGACTTGTTTAAAGTATACTGACGTTGTGATATAAAGATTATTGCAGAATTTTTAGGGCATTATTTTCATAAGTTGTGTTAATATATAAATGGCTTAGTATTAATTAGTTCACTGCAAACTTGGATTTTAAATATACACGTTCATTGTCTATTTTGTCTAATGTGTCTTGCTATATATGAGCACACGCTACATGCTGGCTGATCTTAATCAAAATTCAATCTAATATCTATTCACTCGTGATGTATATTATATTAAATAATTTATTAACGAATATCTAATCAGTAAGTCGTTTATTAAAACTAGAGTCGTAACACCATGTCAAATAACATAAATAAATAACTAAACAAGGTAACACGTGAATAATTTCGAAGTCATAGTTGAATTATGTCACAAATGTCTTCAATCGATAAGATTTGCGAATGCCGTCAGTACCTGAGGCGATTGGATTATTTAAATATTATAATATACTGTTCATAATATTTAAATAATCCAATCGCCTCAGGTACTCTGAGATGGGACTCGAACGCGCGACCTACCGCAATCACAGCATCTGCCCGGATTGCGAAAGGACATATTCCAGTTGTGAATGCAAAATTCACTAAATATAATAACATTTTTCATATTAGAAGAACATAGAAAATATTTTTGAAAATTAAACAGTTGTCCAAGCTTCGCTTTATTACGATACGATACGGGAAACGGTTGGAAAGCACCGTGTTTTGAAGTTGCCAATAAAAATTAAGTTATATATACGTTTTTACATAAAACCAATAACACATCTCCACTTCCATAATGATATTTGAAATAAAAATCAAGTAAACGATGTGATGTTTTTTTTTTCAATTCCAAAACCGTTGGCGTTTAACCGCAGTGCTCGCTAAGCATATCCGAGTTTCGTCTTAGATTCAACGAGCTCCGATGATACAAATTAACAGGAAAGAAGCCATCATTCTAATTAATTGTTCTACACCGCTCATTTCAAAGAATGAAACTAATAAATATAGGTAGACATTTCATTAATGTCTTGATACCATCCACCGTTGATGCAACGGTCTGAAATGCTGTAATGTATTAACATGATCTAGTTTATAAGTCATTGAGACACAGGACCATCAAGAGCAGAGCATAGCAGAATATTTTAAAGCAAAATCTCAATACCATTTAACATTGCATCACATTCATCTAATCGCTAAGATACTTTAGATAATCGTACTTTTTCGAAGTGTGACTGTAAATGTAATTTTTTTGTTGGTTATTTGAGGTACATTTAATTTAAAATTTTAAAATAATAATAAATAAAATTCAAACTAATATTATTAGTAATAGAAAACAAATTTACCTGATTCAGTATATAGCAGATAAATATATTTCTAAATACTCACGAAAGGCCGTTTATAAATACGTTATAATAACATAATAAATATGTAAATAAACATTTACGCTGCATAATTTCACTACAGATATACAATTTCTTCACCAGTACAGTGATCAGGTGTAGCTATAGTAAAACTAGTAAAAGGATATAGAATAGTTAATGAGTCTTTCAGTTAAGTGTGGAGGTGTGTGGTGTCATCAATATCTGATAGGGCTTGATAAGCGATACTCGACCTAATTGCACGGGAATAACTGCGAAGCCCACGGCGCCGATTAAGTAGCGCGAACGTTGCCAGACGTTAGTCCGCACTCTTGAACTCCGTGTCGATGCGACGCTCCAACGCTTGTAACTCTTCTTCCAACTCTTGCTGCAATGTGAATAACATTACAGATATAAATATCTTTACAATAATTACATATTTTCACTTATATCAAATTTAAGCTCTCCTAGGCCACAAGGTTCATTATTCTGCAACTCGAACGAATTAACATGACTTGAGGGACTATAGAATAGTCTAAATATGTAGTTGAAATTGAATGAAAATTTGGAACATGTCGAATCGTTCTTATAATTTTCTTAAAATAATATCCGCGAAGATTTATCTGTGCCTCAGAGGCAGGGTCTGGTCCTACCTCAGTTGCTTGATAATTACCGAGCAATGCGTGTCTTCAGAGTTGCATCAGCATTTCGGAAATAAACATAATTATTTTTTCGGGGAAATAGAATAGGCCTTCAGGTGTCATGTCAATTCGTACAGGCAACACTTTAATCCGACCCGTTTAGTAATTAGCATAAACTGTTTAAAGTTTTTAAGTGTCGGTGTTCAAAATAGCTTTAAGCATAGTGGCATTGTACGCCTTGGAAACGAGGGACATGTATGGGTTTAATGAGGCCCCGTGGCGCGGGAAAATGATGACAAAAATGAAAATTGATACAAGGGTGAGAGTGAGGTGCGGGCGGCGAGCGCATTCATTTTACAAAACATTTCGTTATCTATTTCGCTAACCCAATAATACACGAATGAACAGTTGCGGACCCTTTCTTAAAGTATACATGAGATAAAATTTTCAAAATGAGTCGAAATATCTGCAGACATAAAATTAATTAATCAGTAGGATAATCCCGATAATGGCACCTCCGAAAGTGAGAAATCAAGTTCCAGGGATACCGAGTAACTAGGCTGATTATTGAGTTAAACAGTATCATTATTATCGGCGCTGCTGCTAGGGCGCAGACCTAAGGATAAAGTCGAATCAAACAGGGATGAAGAGCAACAACTCACAATAGCCAATAAGGAATGTTGTGTCTACGGCTGCTGGCGTATTCGAGACCAAGGGCTAACGTGTTTTCCGAAGCGAATCGTAACTCGAGGTGATAATTCCTCGGTCACCCATCCTATGCGTTGCGCTGACCACTACTAACTAGTGTCGTTTACTCACATCGTCCGCTCTATTGACTATATCAGGTGCGGGGGCGGGTACCACGCTCGGCATCCTGTCCGCGCCCACCGCCCGTCTGTCCCCACCCACGTTGAACATCTATACATGTCGCCTTTATTATTTTCCTCACAAAGGATTGTTCCCATCAAAGTATGGTGTTCGGTTTTACGCTTAAAGCCCGTTTTCACTAAGCTTAGGAGTCACCCACGCCTATATATTTAGGAATCGCCTAAGATGAAAATGCATTACACCAATGACTAAGAACCGCCTAAGGACATTAATGTCCGGTATGATATACGTACATTACGCTAGGCATTTGCGAAAAATGACACATAAAAAATGTGTCCAGGGATATGAGAAAAAAATATTATTAGGGATTTAACTAAATTACTTAGGCGATTCGTAAGATTAGGCGTTTCCTTGTTAAGCTAGCTTTGTTTTAGGTAACTTGCTCAATCTTTAAGGTTACAATTGTGTATAATCAACCACAAAACATTTTATGTGAGAAAATGCTAAAGTAGTTCATCAAATTGGATTATTATTTCATGTTGTTATTATTTTTAAATGAAACAAAAAACGTATCTCATTACTTATCAAAGTAACTATATTATCAAATCCAAATAACTCGTATAATAGCCGATGAATGATTTTATCAATGGCAACTCTGCGAGACAAAAGTTGCTAGTGCAAGTGATTTTTATTTAGGTTAGTTTCTAAATGATTTGAATTTATTGTGGCGAAATTGCGGTTTGGTTTAATTAAGTGTGAAGATTTGATATTAGAAACAAATCCAAACCATATTTGGTCTATCTCATTTTAATCATTGTCTTTCCATATGGACCATTCTAAAGGATATTAAATAAGTAATTAATCCAATGGTTCAGCCGTTCTCAAATTTGCGCTCATTAACATATTGATCAGTTATTTTTTATTTATATAAATTACAAAATACCTACCTCTTCTGACGTGCCAGAACAGTGCGGTATTATTGCGTTGCGCATACTGTCAAAATTGAACACCTGTCAACCAATGAAATCATATGTCAATAAAAAATTAACAATGTTCTCAAATATGTGTAACACAAAGCGGGATACTCATTCATTATATTACCTATAGCTGTTGTCCTGCAAACATCGCACGCGTAAATTAATACCCTATCGGTCAGTTGCATTAGAGTCCATTAAGGAAAAGGTAGAACATGAGTCACCAGGAGATTCACGCAGGCCGATAGAAGATGTTAAACCGTTGGTACCGGTTCGAGATGACAAATACTCGGTCACCCATCCTATGACCAACCAGTGCTAACGTCGCTTAGTTTCCAGAATCACATACCGAATCGCCGCGAATTCCTTGCGTGACATATTAGTATGAGCATCGACTCACATCGTTTGTTGTCCAGGCGGCGGTTTCGGGCCTCCTGTCGCGCGGCACCGCCACATAAGTCGGCGGTTTCACACGAAAATCCGGCACTAGTTCCGATGTCACTATAACAATAATATAATTTGGGTTTGCGTGTTATTAAACGATAATAAAAAAAAAAACAATAAATTAAGTAAATTATGGTTGTATATTCACAGTCAAAAAGTGACAATCGGATCTATTAATCATGTTGTAGAATGATCTATATTGTACTTTTCACAATGGCTGTACTTAAATATGAAATTAATATTCATTACTTTTCAACATTGTGTTCTTTAATTTAAACCATAGACGTTATTTTTTTTTAAATTGTATATAAACTCTTTGCTTACAATCCCGATATATCTACAGTTAAGTTACTATGGAATACACTAGCTGTTTTTCCGCAATTTCGCCTATGTAACTTAAGCATTTTGAAAATCGGTCCAATAGTTACCAAGCCTCTTCAGTACAAAACAAAAAACAAAAACCAAATCTCCAAACCAAATCGACTTCGCACGCGTGATCCCTAGGGAACAGTTTATTTGAATATCGATTCATATCATACCACAGATATAATTACAATGACAAGTCGAAAAACAATGGTTACTATGTGTAATGTTTTAATTCTTTAACTTCCACTGCCATTATCATTCCCTAAAATTGCTGTTTTTTGGGATAAAATATACCCTATATTCACCGCAACTGATGAAGCTTCCCGTAGGTGAAAGAATTTTAAAATCGGTCTCGTATTTTCGGTGACTATTTGTAGCAAACAAACAAACGTTTTTCTTCATAATATTAAGTATAGATACATAAAAAAATGTACGATTAACGATGTTAAATTACAAAAAAAAATCTTTTACACTTCTAAAAGAAACAATGTACACTCACAATCATCAAAAGCGTAAGGGCTAATATTCCTCGGTGGTTCGTGTACAGGCACATATATGTTGGGCATCGGCACGTCCCCCTGATACGGTATACCGGTGTTTGGTCCCGGCTGATACACAGGGAACTCCGCGCGATACGTCACGCTCTGGTCCTCCGGGATCGGCAGGATACCGCTGTACCGGCCATAGTAACGCTCCGGAACAGGTATCATTATACCGTTCTGATTGATGCCTAGAGGTTGATTGTGAATTATCGTAGTTGGATAGTTCCTGAGAAAAATAGTAATAATTAAGCGATATACCCCGCTTGTGAACGAAAATAATATGATATAATCGAATACAAGAGATCGAAAAGAATAAAACGTTATAGGTTCTTTAAAAAAAAAAATTTTTTTTTTTCACCCTACAAGGGAAAGGACTTCTATCCATACAGCCACGTCATAAAACATACTAGTGGCCGCCAGCGACTTCGTCCGCGTTTTCCATTATTTCTTCGCTCCAAATAGTTACAGTGTGATGTTATATAGCCTAAAGCTTTCCTCGATAAATGGTAACATATAACAGTAGCTCCTGAGATTAGCGCGTTCAAACAAACTCTTCAGCTTTATAATATTAGTATAGATAACGACCTATCATAAAAGAAAAAATAAATAGAAAATAAAAAGTATAATAAAAGCGGTAAAAAAGTGAAAGTGTCAAAGCATCTAATAGTTCCGTTTATTTTAATCAAAATGCAGATAAACTCACGTCGGTGGAATGCTGTCGACCGCGTGCTGAGTCTCCTGCTGGTAGTCTGGGTTTGGCAACATTTCTGGCGGGATGGTTTGTGATGATAGCGTGGCTAATGCTGCAACGAGTCACAACAACACATTGGCAATGTCAACTCGTTCATTATCAAAATCAAAAACACAAATATCATTACTAAAACAATCGAATGTTAAGTCATATGCTGTTCACAAAACGCGTAAATACTTTAACAATATCTTCTAACTTATAATAGAGCAGAATTTGGATAAAGCTCTTTTTGTGATTATTTCGAATTTAAGGCCTATTGTACACACATGAAACCAACTAGTAATGAAATATCTGATAATAAGTCAACAAATTTATAATTTAATTTCATCAGTAATCTGGTATTATAACTAAAGCTAATCTATTTTTTTTTAATTTGAATAGTGACGTATTACTTAGCACTCACGTGGAGCGTAGTTATCTAGATGAGGATGTTGATACCGCGGATATATAGCGGGCGGCATCGGCATCGCTTGCGGCATTTGCGGCGGCAGCGGCATCGGCGCCGGCAGCGCTGTGATGTAAGTGAAATTACCGTTGGTCGCGCCCGGAGTCGTGTTTGGCATAGACCTATACCTGTGAGAAGGTAACCATAAAATAATGTTAAATACAACTCCTTCAAATTGAAAATAAAGTAGCCCAAATTAAGTAAAGTTTAGAGCGTTATATAAATCTTGTTTATAGGTAAAAGAAAGTAAAAACCGCGGATCGTGGCAATCAGCTCCCTCTGCCTGCAAGACTTGCAGTTAATCTACGGACTACAAAAAAAAAACTTGTACGAATTAGCATGACACCTAAGTGCCTATGATATTTGTCCTCGAACGCAAATAATACAAAAAAACCGGTCGAGAGCGAATCGGACTCGCGTTCGAAGGGTTCCGTATCATAATTATCTTTAAGAAAACTGGAGTAAAAAAAAATCTGTTTTATAGTATTTGTTATTATAGCAGCAACAGATATACAGGCGAGTGATAGTTGTTACCGACAAAGGAGGTTAAATACATTATAAAAATAAAAATAAAAAAAATAAAATAGTTTATTTCCTTAAATTGCATACATATAACAGTAATGTGGCCAGAATCACCCAGGAAGTGCCTAAAAAGCTCTTGTGTCGGGTGGTTCTGCTCCTCCTTAGGAACTTAATAACATTATAATGTATTCTTTTAAAAACAAATTATTATATGTAAAAATAAAGGTATTTAATCTCCTTCGTCAGTAACAATGATAGGGCTCCGTTTTAACCAGTAGGTTCCGAACCGCATAAACGATTATCGTTATATTTCAGACTATTTGCGGCTGTGGTCTTGTCGCCGTACGGTGTGGCACGGTATAAAAAAAATATTATTTGCCGCCATTATAAATGTCTGAGTACATATGGATGTTGCATTTTCATGAAAATAACATTAGAAATAAGAGACAATTTCAAAGATCAAGTTGGTTAGTGACAATATAATCCGCGTCGCGGAATTAGCCAGGTTTCTGAAAATCGCAGAAATTTCATAGCCTACATTAATATTCAATAATGTAAATTCGTATAGCATACTTTTTAACTAGTTGAATGGTGTCTTAGCGATATCCCATTTCATATATTCACAAAAATTATTTTATTTATTTATTTAAACTTTTATTGCACACAGTTCAAATGGTGGACTTAATGCCATTAGGTATTCTCTAACAGTCAACCGGAGAATTGTATGCAGATAATATATGAAGCGGTGCAAAAAGATCAGCTATATTAGACAAATATTTACATCTTACTACATTATAATATCCTATATATAAATAAACATCATAAATGAATATACATAAACAAATATATATTTAAATAAATATATTATATAAATCTAACCAAATTATGGGTTAACCAGATAAGGATGATGAATTTAATAGATATTCACGAACTAATAGCTTTAAGGAGATCCTATCAGATTCTAATAAAGTAAAACAGATTTAAATCGTGACGTGAGCTATTCCAAAGTGGGCTACAGGCGATCGCTATAGCTATAGGAGTTTATCAATGTTCTATATATATATATAATAGCTCGGTGGCGGCTCGGCCGCGACCAGCGATCGTTGTTGTTCAGCAACATTCGCAAAGGGCGGTTACGGGATGGGTAACCAAAAAATATTATCTTGAGCTACTTCGTGCTTCAGGAAGCACGTTAAGCCGTTGGTCCCGGCTGCATTTGCAATCGTTAATATCCTCCAATCCACATTGGGCCAGCGTGGAAGTTTATGGCTCATCCTCCTTGACCATCCATAAGGAAGGCCTAAGCCCCAGCAGTGGAGACGTAAAAGGGTTGCTGATGATGATGATGATAAAATATTTGCGTAACAGCATAGCGTCTATAATCGCAAAGCTTACACGAATCTGTGCTATCAAACTCCAAATCACGATAGCAAAATATAAGCAACATTCGCAAATGCTCGACAATCTGGTTGGGTAAGGTTTATTGGTTAGCTCAGCACCTATCGATTTTCAAGATAACGATTATATTATTGTACATTTCGATCTCGATTTACAATAATCAAGTGTTCATTCATTTGAACAATTTTGCATTCACAATGTTATATATATATACTAGCTTTCGCCAGCGGCTTCGCCCGCGTGGACCCTAGGGAAATGTTTAGTGGGATAAAAAGTATCCTATTATCTAAGTCAGCTAACACCCTATCTGTATACCAAATTTCATCAAAATCCGTTCAGTAGTTTCGGCGTGATTGACGGACAAACATCCAAACATCTAAACATCCAAACATCCAAACAAAGAAACTTTCACATTTATAATATTAATAGGATATATATATTTCTATCTTTTAATTTTTAAGGGGTTTTTATTCTTTAGAAAATGCCAACCTAAATACTTAAATCTAAATTCATTTTATAACAATATTTCACTAGTGAATTTTCAACAGCATTTACTACAGTTAGTTAATTACACGTACACAAACGGTGACAAATCTCGCAACTTTTACCAAAATATGAAGAGTAATAACTAGTAGTGATCACGTGCTCATGATGTGGAAATTGTTATTTTTTAGTTTTACAGTTGACATAAAGGACTCCCGAAAATAAGAATCGGATCTAGGGCATGCGGAATAATCATTTAAAAATCCTTGTTAATTGTAAAGTCCGCCAATTGTACAATGTTGCGCGAAATGAAGTTTAAATAAATATAAAGATAACACGTAATAATAATTCTTTATTCATGCCAAAGCAGAAATAATAAGAGAAACGCTGATTACATATACAGTTTTTTAAATAAACCCATATAAATGGATATTCAATCATAAAGGTTACATTCGCACATATTCTTATATATAACACAAAATTTGGAGGCAAAGCATTCACATAACAAACATAAGAAAATCTGATTAAACATTACATTACTTGTTACGGAGGTAGATATTTCATTATTTTTACTGTTAAAACATGGTAAAGTATAATTACCGATGAAAATTGGTACAGTTAAAAATTTTCTTTTTTAAACCTATAAATTAACATACCTTTCCAATTCCTCTTCTGAATGCGCGAAGGTACAAGAGTTGCCCCTGGGACAGAATGATCTGGTGGCCGCGTCCCGGCACATGGCCACTTTGTATTTGTTGTGTGTGGGCGTTGACGCCGCCGTCTGAGAACTCGGTTGACCTGACAATGTCAAAAGAGCACATAAACTAAACAACGAATCTGATGGCACAAAATAAAAAAGAATAAATATCCATTTTCATATGGCAATATAAATTGTCAACCGTTGACAACACTGCACAATATTGTGGTGCGGCCGCGGCGGCCGTAGACAGTGACGACATCACATTCTTTCACTCTACGGTTTACGTCGTCGGCCACGAGAGGGGTCTGCTATATAACCACTAAGATTCAAATCCCCGCCGAGCTAACACGTTACTTTATTTAAATAATATTAAAAATATTGTAAGCATAAATACACCGATTTCAAGTTGCATATCGTGTTTAAATTCACTCGTCCAAAGTACAAGCCTCACCATAAAGTTTCGAGCCGGATGCTTCATTGGAAAGCGAAACAGTGCGAATTTAATTAAAATGAAGAATCGGGAGGTATTTAAAGGACACAACTAGACACGCAGCGGCGAAAAAGGAAAAAAATTACGACGTGAAATACATATTAATATTAATACCAAGAAAAGGGTTTGTGGTAAATGCTTGTGGTGTAAGTACGATCCAATCAACATTTCAGTTTAAACAAGTACCTAATTAAATTCATTCAAATCTGTGTCGAGTTAGAATATTTTTCCTATTATTAAAATTTCAGTTATTCGTTCTACCATAAGATTTCTAACGTTAAATTAATTCATTTAACTACATAATTAACTATCTACATATTTTATTAAATCAGATACAATTTTCCCATTTTTTGAAATAATTCTCCTTAAAGACCATTAATTGTCTCATAGTATTAACAACAACTCCTCAACGAAAATATAATCGATATAATGTGCATTTTAATTATATTTTTAACGCATTCTAGATAAATTTCGTGATCGAAGCCACGTGACCTTCGCACGGCCTACGTGACTTGGTGAGCGGTCGTGTGCGTTGCCTGGGTGATTGCTGTGCGCTTACCCTCACTCGCAAAATATTTTGCACTCGCTGACAATTTAAGTATTTTGCTTTATCTATTTTACCGATCTATATTTTTTGCGTATATATTTTGCGTAAATTTAATAATATTTTATTTTCAGCTTGTAGTTGGATACTATTCCATCGCATACTATACTTTCTAATTAGAAATAGGCAAACCTACATACGCGAATAAATTTAATATGGATCTTAAAACTTTAAAACGTACTAGAGCTTCACATAAATCTAAGCTTACAATTTTTAAATCATTTCTTGAACCATTAATATCTGGTAAAGGTTTAAATAAATTGCAAAAACATGAGCTGACTACTCGTTTAAGTAAAATCGATCATTTATACAACGACTTTGACTTAACTCAAACTGAAATAGAAAATTTAACGGATCTGGTAGATGCTGAGTATGGAGAGCGGGAAATGTTCGAGACTTCATACTTCGGTGCAGTCGCGATGGCGCAGGAGTTGTTGGGCCGAAGCAGTGAAAAGCATAGCGAGGAGTCCGAGACAGGTTCTAGTACCGGTACAATCGCAGGTGGGCCAAACGTTAAATTACCTACAATACATTTACCTACCTTCTCTGGTCGCTATCAAGATTGGCTCGAATACCATGACACCTTCAAGTCGCTCATACACAATAACAACACACTTACAAAAATTCACAAATTACACTATTTGAGAGCATCCTTAAAGGATAGTGCCGCGTTAGTCATACAATCATTAGACTTTTGTTCGGATAATTATGAGGTCGCATGGGAGCTGCTGTGTAATAGATATAACAATCGCAGACTACTCATCAATAATCACATACAGGCTTTGTTTAACATTGAACCAATTTATAAAGAATCGCCTAAATTACTACGAAACATAATAGATATAATCAACAAAAACTTAAGGTGTCTAAAAACATTAGATTTGCCTATTGAACATTGGGATCTATTATTGATTTACATGGTTTCTCAAAAACTAGATACTTCCACTATTCGTGAGTGGGAAGGAAATCGAAATTCACTTGAATCGATACCAAATTTAGAACAATTTCAGACATTTCTAAAAAATCGGGCTGATCAATTAGAAACCATGGAACAAACATACAACAAAACACGCAGACATAGTGACATTACACCCATTCGACCTAAAACATTCATCGTTAATCAAACTCATAAACCAAATATATCTTCGTGTCCCGTGTGTATGAAAAAACATTCAATTTATCAATGTTTGAAATTTAAATTGATGTCAGTGGAATCTAGACTTGAAACTGTAAAGAAATTGAACCTATGTAAAAATTGTTTACGTGCGGGCCATATTAATAAATATTGTAGGTTGGGTCCATGTAAAATTTGTTCACAGAAACATAATACTATGTTACATATACAAACTCAACTCACTTAACAAACTCCACCTCATACTTCCAACGAGTGTGTAGTACTACCTAACTCTCCACAAAATTTACAAGCACAAGTAAGTGAGGTACACCATGTTAATAATATTACGCTTTCGTCAACTCATGTCAGTCACGTGTTGCTCTCAACAGTAGTAGTCAATATAACAGATCATAATGGCGGGGTACACAAGATTCGTGCGTTGCTCGATAATGCCAGCACATCAAGTTTTATAACGGAATCATTAATCAAAACGCTAAATATTCCCAGTTATTCCACATCAGTTTGTGTACGGGGATTAAATAAACAAATATCAAAAATTACAAAAAGATGTGACGTCACTATTTCCTCACTAACAAACAGTGGATATAGTATAGAAGTAAATTGCTTTATTGTCCCACATATCACTCAATTGATTCCAGCTACAAAAATTAATTGCAATTTCAATAACTTACCCAGTCATATCCAACTTGCAGATCCCGGCTTCAATAACCCATCTGAGGTACAAATGTTATTGGGGGCGGATATATTTTGGGAAGTATTATCAAATAATCATATAAATTTAGGAAAAAATATGCCAATACTAGTTGAGACAACACTAGGCTGGCTAGTTTCTGGTACCATACAAAACAAAAACAAACACTATTCAAACACAAAGCATACCTATACAGTCCATTGCAATTTAATTAATAATATTGAGCTCGAAGAAAAACTCAATAAATTTTTTGAGTTTGATTCCATTTCCACTTCTCAACAACTCACACCAAAGAGTGAGAGTAAGTACGAAAGTATATTCACACAGACAACTACACGCCACCCAGATGGTAAATTTGTTGTTACTATTCCACTAACAGAATCACCTCAGATCTTAGGTGATTCTAAAGAGCAAGCATTAATGAGGTTTTATTCATTAGAACGAAAGTTCAAACGTAATCCATCATTTAAACAGAAGTATATAGAATTTATTAATGAATATATAGCACTTGGTCATATGACAATAAATAATAATTCACAAAATGATAACTGTTCATATTTCATGCCCCATCACGGTATTCTACGTGAAGGTAGCTTAACCACCAAGCTGAGAACGGTATTTGATGCCTCTTCAATCACTACATCGGGTAAATCGTTTAACGACATCCAACACGTAGGGCCAGTCATTCAAGACGATTTAATAAGCATTCTGATTCGCTTTCGCCAACACAAATTTGTTGTAACCTCTGATATAGAAAAAATGTATAGACAAATATGGGTTAACGAAAATCAACGAAGCTTGCAGCAGATTTTTTGGCGATCGGATCATGACCAAGAAATAAAACAATACAAACTTAATACTGTTACATACGGAACTGCTTCAGCACCATATTTAGCGACTAGGTGTTTAGTTGAATTAGGCAAAAATTGCTCACAAAAGAATGTAAGTGAAACAATCTTACATGATTTTTATTATGATGACCTGATCACAGGTAACGATAATGCACAAATATTAATACAAACAAGCAAAGACGTAATTGGAGAGCTAAAAAAAGCTAATTTCCATTTACGAAAATGGCACTCTAATTCACCTTCCATATTGAATGCAATTGTTGGAGAATGTAGCGATGATCTACTGTTAAATTTGAGTAGAGATGAATATTCAAAAACATTAGGGCTATTGTGGTCATGTAAACATGATTTATTGCTATTTTCATCAGCGAGTAATATTGAAAAACACACTACAAATAAACGCACTATTTTGTCAACAATAGCTCAGATCTTTGATCCACTTGGGTTAATTAATCCATGCATGCTACAGGCTAAACTTATTTTACAGACTCTATGGGCAAAGGGATTTGCTTGGGATGAAACTTTACCCCATGACATAGAGACACTTTAGCTCAAATTTATCAAACACTTACCAGAATTGGCAACCATAAGTATACCACGCCGAGTGGTATGTGAACGTTATTATTATATAGAAATGCACGCTTTCTGTGATGCATCAATAAAAGCATACTCAGCCTGTGTATACTTACGTACAATTTCTAATGATGGTTCAATTTCAGTTCATTTATTACTAGCAAAAAATAAAGTTGCTCCACTCAAACAAAAACTCACTATGCCAAGGCTTGAGCTTTGTGGAGCCCTTCTTGCTACTACATTAGCAAAGAAGGCCGAGCGAGCTTTGAGGATTAAAATTAATAGACAGTATTTTTGGTGTGATTCAACGATTGTGCTAGGTTGGATTAAATCAACAAAGTTAAAATTAAAACAATACGTTCTTAATAGAATTAAACAAATTCGTATCAATAGTAATATTTTGGAATGGAATTATGTGCCAACAGATATAAACCCCGCAGATATAGGGTCACGGGGATGTCATGCAGCTCAACTCAAAGCTTCTTCTTTATGGTGGGAAGGGCCTAAATATTTACATAAAAAAGAACTACAATTGCCGAAACAACCGCATCTCACAAGCGTTGAGTTACCAGAAATAAAGACAAATATAAATTTATTATCATCTGAGTCAGAAGATTCTAGTTTAATTTATAAATATTCGACTCTTTCAAAATTACAACGTATAATAATTTATATCAAACGTTTTTTGCATAATTGTCGTAATTCAAATAATAAATTATTAGGCCCACTGAAAACATCCGAATATCGTACGGCCAATATTACTCTTTGTAAATTAGTACAAATACATAAAAAGAAGAATGGCGAAATCGGACCCCATAATTTACAAAACCGTACATGGATGGCAATATGACAAATAAATAATATATGATTAATAGATTTTATTTCTACAAAATGGTGAATTTTAATGTCGGGGAACCAAACTAAAATGTTAAATGCTGCTAATAATTATCAAGATAACAAAACGTCTGATGATAGTGCAAAAACAAAACGCGAAAATCTTTTTAAGAAACGTTCTGGTTTACGCAGAAGTACTTTAATAATAAAACTATATCTTGGAAGTGTTTCATGACTTTTGCCCTTGAAAAGGGTCATCTATTTTAATGGATATTATCGTTTCCTGTACATTGCAATTAATTCTATTACCTTTAAAGTACCATCAATACGCTTAATAATCGAATATAAAGTCAAAATAAGATTGTATAGAATTCATTCCGTTCTCTTTAATTGAAAACCACACAATATATCAAAGGGTTGTACTTTGGATGGTTTTTGAAAAATCGATCACATACATCAACGATGTCAGAAGCGATTCTCAATTAATCGCGAGTTTTTCAAACATGTTCTATAGAATATTATCTGTCGCCATTTACTGCTAATAATAAGTGAGATATGTGATGTAATGACGTGTACCGACTGAGCGAATGAACGTCAAATATATATTCAATATAAAATCTATATATAATATATTATATGAAATACGGTCTTTGAATACTTTCATAAATATTTATTTTATTCGTTCAAATTACGTATTGAATACTTGAGAAATAAAAAAATTGAAAGCTAAGATACCACAACCGATTTAAGAAGATTATTGCCAGTTCTGTAGTTGAACCGATGAAAGGTTAACGTATCGATTATTTTGTTCTAAATAATCGATTGGTTGATTTTATTTTGACATGTTTGTTTTCATCTATGAATGTTCTAAGATGATGATGGTGGAATGATAGCGGATGATTGGTTTGGTTTGTTTTTTGTGTGTTCGTTCGTGGAGTTTGATATTTATGTTAATATTCAACTTGACAATTAAGCATGTTTCTTCGACTAACGTTGATATTTGCATTACTTTTGGATTCCGAATGGCAATTGATTCGGTTATAACAATGACAGTTCAATGTGTACATTGCCCTTGTTTGTCACTTTCAGTTGTAATGATTTAATTAAAGGCAAAGGGATCTACTCCACACAGTTTAGTCATATGTTATAAATGTTTCTTCTATTATAAATGTCTGGATATTGTTAGATATGTAATTATTTTAATCTAGTTTATTAAACGGAGTAACCTGGTTACCATTTTTATTCATTTTAACGTCCATTCAACGAAAAAGCAAAGATGCAATATATAACCTCACAAAGTATTTTATGCCATATCTCTTTAATCCCAACTTTTAAAGGAAAAAGACGATTAGGATTTTGTTAGTTTAGCTTATACCTTCAAGTACACGTTTATTTCATTGATGAACGCGACTTTAAAAATTCAGGTCCAAAGCTATATGGGAGTTCTAAACAATACATGCTCTTATTGAATAATCATAAATTGCCTTATAAGGACAAACTTTTACATTTGAACCCTTTTATTGATAATGATGGTCTACTACGAGTGGGTGGTCGGCTTTCAAATTCATATTATAATTATGATATGAAACACCCCATACTATTACATGCATCACACTATGTAACAAAACTTATAGTAGAATATTATCATAAAGTATTGCTACATGGTGGTTCCCAATTACTACTGACTACATTACGACAAAAATACTGGATTATAAACGGTAGAAATTTGACAAGAAAGGTTACTCGCAATTGTATGAATTGTTGTCGTTTTACAGCAAAATCATTTCAACCCATAATGGGAGACCTACCATCACAAAGAGTACATGCTGAATTTCCATTTACAAACACAGCTGTAGATTACGCAGGGCCAATAATGATAGCCAACAAAAAAGGTAGAGGTTGCCGACTGATTAAATCATACATTTGTGTATTTGTGTGCTTAGCGGTTCGTGCGATTCATCTGGAACTTGTCACGGATTTGTCATCGCAGGCCTTTATATCGGCTTTAAATAGATTCATTTCGCGTAGAGGGAAGCCTTCAACGATTTATTCGGATAATGGTACTAATTTTGTGGGTGCAGCTAATGAATTATCAAAGTTTTTAAGATCCAACTGCGATGGTATAGTGTCTTGTTCATCTGAAAATGAGATTAATTTCCGATTTTGTCCAGCGTACAGTCCGCACTTTAATGGGCTAGCTGAATCATCGGTAAAATCGATCAAGCATCATTTAAAGCGAGTACTATCCATGGCGAACTTGGATTATGAAGATATGTATACGTTGTTAGTACAGATCGAGTCAATACTAAATTCGAGACCTCTCACCCCTATTTCATCAGATCCTTCAGATCTTGTACCACTTACCCCGGCACATTTCTTGATTGGACGTACACTCACAGCATTATCTTACCCCCAGGTCGGAGATGCACAGATTTGCACACTAACGAGATATAAGAGAGTCCAGGCTTTAAAAAACGCATTTTTGGACCCGTTATTATAAAGAATATCTTTCAGAACTTCAAATAAGGAACAAGTGGCAGACAGATGGGGAACAACCATGCCTTGGAAAGATGGTGCTAATCAAGGACGACCGACAGCCACCGAACCGATGGCTTATTGGGCGAATAGCGGCGGTGTTTCCAGGCTCCGACGGTGTCGTCAGGGTGGTGGATGTCAAGACCTCAACAGGAACATTGAGAAGAGCCTTCAACAGGATCTGCCCACTTCCACCATTGGAACAGGATGTTCCAAGGGGGGCAACATGTTAACGCACAATATTGTGGTGCGGCCGCGGCGGCCGTAGACAGTGACGACATCACATTCTTTCACTCTACGGTTTACGTCGTCGGCCACGAGAGGGGTCTGCTATATAACCACTAAGATTCAAATCCCCGCCGAGCTAACACGTTACTTTATTTAAATAATATTAAAAATATTGTAAGCATAAATACACCGATTTCAAGTTGCATATCGTGTTTAAATTCACTCGTCCAAAGTACAAGCCTCGATAGTGAGTACAAATATATATCAAAGGTTGATAAAAAAGTTGATTGTATCCAATTTTTGTTAATGTTATTTTAATAATTAATGTAATTTATTTTCTAACTGGTATTTCTTAGTTATTTTATACTAACTGGTAGAGGCCTCCACACATCTGTCAGGCAGCGCTAACTTTTGATTATGGTTTGAATCTCTTCCAGTCGCCTGTTGCTGTAGATAGTGGAACAGACCAGACACGACCTCCTTCAATGATGTCATTATCTCTGCTAGCTGCTGCCACGTTGGACCCTTCGCATCTAATACAAACATATTAGGAAAATACACATGAATCACATTATATATTATTTGAAACTATAGACATTTTTTTATATATCGTTACCTATACAGGGTTATTGATAAAACTAGCTCTTAAGACCGACCAACCGATATTATAAACGAAAAAATCTGGTAATACGTTATATACTTCATTTTTGTATATAAAATAATTTCTTTTACTGCTCAAATGGTAATAACTGTAGTCGTATTTAGAAGTATCTAATTTGTAGCAGGTACTTCACTCAGCCAATAAAATATAGACTTAAATAGTTAAAATAGTAAATAAATATATTTTTACATTGACCCGACCGGAAATAGAAACCAGATCCTCGGGAAGGGCGAAACCTTGAAATGAATGGACAATTAAAAGTTAATGAATCCACTTTCTTCCAAAGTATTAATTTATGTTAAAATTCGTGTATCAAATATCGTTAATGAAGTCCTGTATATTTGTTGTTATTGTTTTAACAATAACCCTGTATATGCGGAAAATATAAAAATTACCTGGACTGGCGTCTATAGCGGTCAACCGATCCAGATGGCGGCTGATAATAACCAACTGAGCGGGATCGCCCGTCCTCTGTAAAGCTATGAACAACTCTTGGACCGACTGCGCGAAAGACTGGGGCGTCTGAAGCTTATCAATTATACTCTGCATGTGACTCTTGTGGGCTGTATCTCCGTATAACAGGGCGCTCCACTGATCAGGTGCGATCCTGAGACCGGCCTCTGTGGCGATCTGGACTATTTGGGCGTCGTGTTCCCGCCTCAATGATTCGTATGTTCGAAATTCCTCTTTCAATTGCATCAACGAGGAGTCGCACTCGCGTTTTGATACCTACAAAAGTTTTTGTGATAATTGAAAAAGGGAATATGCGTTAGATAAAAAAAGGGGTTTAATATATTTCATTACGATCATTATTACTTTAGAATAGTCTATGTAAATATTTTTCAAAATTAGTTAGTTTTCGTCTTGAAAATAATTATTAGAAAGTGTTAAAAAATGCGGTAATTTCAAAGCATTCAAAAGCCACGCTACTCGTTGTTACACAAAGTTAAAATTGATGCAATAATATCAATATATGTAAAATGTCACAAAATAAACAGCAGATTACAATTAAAATTGTGTTTTACGCTTTCATTTTTATTTCACCAATTTGGTAAACTCTAGCCGCGTACTTTGACGTCACGAAAAGCACCAAAAATTCCAGCACTTAAACTGCTCATAGTTGTTACTTATTTTCATAAATTATCATTGTTACTAAAATTTAGTTTTAAAAAAATATGCAGGGCACTGACTGCATATTTTTTTACAGTTATATAACGATGTAAATTATCTTATGAAAACATTTTCAAAAAATGTGCATATTATTGTTGCCTGTTAAAATAATTTGTTATTCTGTAGTAAGAGCACCATATCATTATTAAAATAGTGTACAAAAACTTGATGTTGAATTTTAAATTTTTTCGTAAAGTTAAATAAATATTTTTAAAGAACAATGTATTTGGTAACAATATGAATGCATAACACATTCTAACGCCAGAAAGAGTATTTTACATATAAAATATTTTAATAAACTTGAAAGTTTTACAATACAAGGTTTGACCAATGGTATATAAAAGCTTCAGAATTATATCAATATAAGGTCATATACCAAGTACTAAATTTATATAATTGGTAGCTCAGTCCCTTGTGTAATAATCAGAGGTCGGAATTAGGTAGAGTTATTTATGTACTTGCATCGAAATGTTGATATTAATGTGGACCTTCCCGGGATTTCAAATGGACAATCTTGGACATCTTTGGACATCCGATGTCATTGATGTAAGTTTGGCAACGTCGTGCGTGCAGTAGTTTAAATTGTGTAAAAGTAAATAACTTTTTATTTAAAAAATCACGGGATTTTTTCTGCTGTTTAAAATTAATCTCGGGATTTGAGGCATATTCACTTTATTCTTTCGCTGTATGAAATCAGTGTAAGTACATGAATAACTCTACCTAATTCCGACCACTGGTAATAATAATCATCGATAGATGTTAACATTCAAAATACTCTATAAAATTATTGCAAGAGAAATATTGACATAGCCATGAAATCGTGGTCGTATTAAATTCATATAAGTTTAATGAAATATGCGATAATTACCTTAAAACAAGAAGCTCTATACAAGAGCTGAACGACATGGCCTATACTAGTTTTAGACGCCTGGGGGAAGTGTGGCTCTAATCTTTGGACTACAAACATCACTAAAACCTGCAAACAAGAAAAACATATGTTAAAAACCTTTTTATACGTTTCTATTTCTTTTATACTTTTTCGAATTTGTTTATTATAATACTTGCTATCCTCAGAATTCTTGGATGTATATAAAATCACCAAGTCATAAAAATCTATAGTTATATTATAAAGCGGTAAAATCGGAAAGACTGGTCTGATCATGGAAATTCATTCACCTACAGGAAGCTACATCATACGTGGATGACATAGTCTATAATTTACGCGAGCGAAGTCGCGGGAAAACAAGTAATTATAATATATATTAACGGATATACATCGTCTAAGCTTGCTCTATTTTGAAAAGGTATAATTACCCTAATGAATAAACAAATATACTGTGCTATCCAGGACCTAACAGGACTGACGAATTTTTCAAGCACTTGTTACTTTTTCGCTAATACAGAGCGTACTGTCGTCAATATTCAGGCAATCCACCCTAACAGCCGAAAGAAATATTTTTACAAATATTTAAACTTTAAGTTGAAAATTTGTTCTAATTTAATTATTAATGCAAAAATTATCAAATATCAATTATTTGATAATTTTTCGAGGAATTATCAAATATCAATTATTTGATAATTTTTCACATGAAAAATGTTTGGGTGGATTGCCTGAGCATTGATGAAAATACGCTCTGTAGTCGCAAAAAGTAACAATTACCTTTCTTGACAAGGCGGACCCGTCCTCTAGTGCTAGTAGGACGAGCTTTAAGACCTCTTCCTGCATCGCTGGACCGAGGAATTGACAACCGCGCGCCCTCACCGCCGCCCATAAGTTCGCGCTCAACTGTTGAGGATTCTATAGAGAAATAATAATAGAAAATTAACATTTATTTTTGACATATATTTTTTTAAATGTATATAGACCAGGGGTCGACAACATGCGGCACCTTCGATATTAAGTTGTGACTCTCAAGTTCCATTTAAAAAATGAAATTGATCTAGTATTGATCAAATATAGTATACGATTAAGATACACTGACTATGACTGAGCGATAGGTATTCAAAGTCAGTCGTCAGTAGTAATGGTAGTATTCAGTATCAGTTGATAACAATTTCATTAAACTAGGTCCTTTTTGACGTGTAAAACGTAAAAACTTAATTTATTGAGAATGATTTTTAACTTTTCCCAATTTAAAAACTGGCTGGTAGACTGAACACAGCTTATACTGAATAAATGAATTTGAATTGCATTAGTCTTTAGAATTGGCCACTAGACCATTTTGAGCAAAGTTTTTTTATAATTTTCATAATATTATAATATTAAACCATTATTGGATTTATTTTTCATCAAATGGTGTTATTAAATGAAGAGAAAACATATTTTTATTCGTTATGCACGGGACATTTCGAGCCGTGACGTCACATTTTGAAAACATGAGTACTGATTGCACTCAACAAAGATGTTGACGTTTAGTTTATGAAAATGTGACGTCACACGATACTCTGTCATAGCCGCCCGCATTTCCGTTCTATATTTTAAATCACAAGACATATATATAAAAAAAAATATATAATTCATATATAAAGTTACAATCTTAAAAAAAAATTCCCGCGAAGACGACACACCATGCATCAAGATGAATTCTCTAACTTCTGATATGAGTAAGATGGCCGTGTCGTCACGCGCTGTCTGCGGTCACGTGACGAGTATAAAATATTTTTGTTTTTCATAATAAATTTGTATTTATAAATATAACAAGCATCAATTTGTGATTATCTGCAATAGTATATTAAACACTACCAGAAAAAAAAAATAACATGTATTTATTTTCGTTTACTGTCTACAGCCGCTTCATGAAAAATGGTGGTCCGTTTATTACAATACCTGGTGTTGCAGTATCAGCTCGGTGACGGTCCTCTCGCCGAGCGAGCGGGCCGCCCTGGCAGCGCGACCCCTGCCCTCGTCGTCAGTCATCGCGCACTGCAGCAGCGTCACCAGCTTACGCTGCATCGGCCGCGAGAGCCGACTACCACCCACACTGTTGTTCGCTACATCCATACACACAAACTTAAAAACTAAGTTTTACGTATTATAATCCTGTGAAAATGTTTTGTAACATAATATAATTTAAAGGAGTATAATTATTTTAATAACGTTAAAATAAATCCAAATTAAAAGTTAATTTTTTTTTTATTTAAAGAATGGACATCAGAATTAGCTTTGTCAAACTGCTCTATTCTTCTAACTTCTGTTTGTGTGCTTTTCATCAGAAAGTTATTTAAGTATAAATTCCATCTGATAAGATAGCTGCAAAGATGCTAAAACCTAGATATTATGAATTAAGAATTTATTGATTACATAGCATAAAAATAATACTAAGTAATATACTATAGTATATGTAAGATAGTAATCTTCTAAGGTAATAACTTCTCTCGACTATAGATATGGGAGTAAGTCTGGAGTCGGCAACTTGTGGCTCACAGACCGCAACAAGCTTTCATATATATTTAAAAAAAAAAAAAATACTGTCGAAACCTGAGACTATGACTGAGAATAGATTAGAATATCTATTCTCATAGTTTTCAACAACTTTGAATTCGTTTATCTTAAACAAAGTCTCAAGTATAATATTGAAAGAATTATTCATATTATTATATTTGATAAATTTAGCATTTACAAAATATTCTTAATGAAAATTGTTTAAAAAATCCACTTTGTCCCTGGCACTCTGAAATGGGACGCGAACCCAGGACCCACGACCCTCGCTGAGCTACCCAGGAACTAACAGAAGTGACGAATTGGCTCTTCCGTTTTAATAGTCAAACCAAGTTACGTTGTGTGTTTGGGAATAAAAAAATATCTATAAAAGAAAATAATGATAATGGTATATCTTACCATTCCCACAGTACTTGAGAAAGACTGCGAGGTGTTCCATACAGCGTACAATGACGTCATACGCCTGCCTGTCATGGTCAGGCAGTGCTTGTATACAGGGCGGGTGGTAAGGCTGCGCGGGCGGCGTGTACCCGGCTAGCTGGAGCAGGGCGGTGTTCACCACTAGCTCCTCAGGTTCCACTTGGATCACAGTCTGTTTTCAAAACATGTATATAATATTGTTGCTGAAGTAAAGCCTTTTTATTGATTTGCTTATCATACTTATTTATATTTGTATTGTCTATTAATAGTTTTCAGTTGTTTTTTATAAATATTTTTTGAGAACCTTTACCCTAAACATATCTTTTCTTTTGCCTATTAACAGTCTGGGGTGTTAAATAAAAAAAAATCCTATTATCTGATATATACATAAAAATGGTTTTATTATTAAAGTAGTGGTAAAAAACATGTATTACGTATTTATTATTAATAATGTTTGACTCTGTTCTTGTTAGGGCTGGACATTTTATTTAAAATTCAGATTTTACCTTCTTTAATAACCAATCATCACGGGGCCAGCCCCACCTTCGCAGGGGTATACTTTAAACACTCACAGGCACAATTAACCGCAAACCTTCTATTTCTTTCAATTCGCAGAAATCGCCAAACATAGACCATATTTTATAAAAGGAATATTTAAAACTTTAATTAAAGAAAAAGAAACAACAAATATATTAGAAAAATACTCTTTTATTAAAGGATGCTTACCAAAAATCGACTTTTTTAAAAACTTCAATGAAAATTTAAAAATTTTGGTTTTGAAAATAATGGGGCAATTAAAAGAAATACTTTAAACACTCACAGGTACAACGTGACAAAATAAAAATTAAAGGTGGATTTTGCCACCTCTGGCTCTTATGATTTCTTGGAGCCTGTTTGTCAATCCATCCATGATGTCTTGAATATCCGATTAGGGGATATTGTGCCACTCCTCTACTGCAGCCGTTCTTAGCTCTCCTATAGTCGTAGTGGTACTCTTGCTCGGACACGTCTTTTAAGGTTGTCCCAAATGTGCTCTATTGGGTTAAGATCGGGTCTGCGTGCGGGCCATGGTAAAACTTGACTCCTGACCTCGTTAAGTTACTCACTGACAGATCTTGCGGTATAGCGACGTGCATTGTCATGCATTAATCTGAAGTCTACCAATGAACGGAGCGAATGGTATGACATGGTTTCGAAGAACTTCATCCAAGTATCTTTGAGCGTTTACACTTCCTCTATCGAACACAACAAGATCGGTACGAGCCCTATAAGAGATACCTCCCCATACCATTATAGACCCTCCCTGGTAACCTACTATTTCAGTTATATTGCATGAAGCAAGCCTCTAAACACGCTGACGTCCATGTGGACCTCTATTCTGCTCTCATCTATCAACAGTACGTTCTTCCGTTCCTATACAATCCAATTAGCATATTCTCGCGCAAAACAAAGTCTAGCTCTACGGCGTTTTTGGAACAATTGCGGAGAGCGTGCTGAACCAAAGAGCCCTCAAATTAATTTCTGCTAGTCTTCTTCTAATGGTACGTTCACTGACACTGTCATTTTTCACTTTAAAAAGTCGCGTACGAGCTTCAGTAGCGGTCGAAAAGCAATTTCTCAACACATTGGAGACAACGTAGCGGTCATCTCGGGTCGAAGTGCATCGATGTCAGCCATTACCTGGCCTGCGGATGTTTAAGCCTGTCTCCCGAAATCGTTTCATGGCATCTCGTACCGTAGTTCGAGATACACAGAGTGTGCGAGCGATCCCCGCATCAGCTAAAGCCACTGCCCTAGCAAAATCAGTTGCATCGAGTGGCGTTTTTTGCAATCACAAACAATGAACAAACACTATAATTTCAAATTAAACAATATCCGTTCACTAGTATAGAAAATAACAGGAAAAGTTAACTCGATAACACAACAGCAACAACGACTAAATTCCGAAAACCCTTCAGTGACAGAAATAAGTATTTTGCTTAATAAAATCCTACTTCCTTCAGTCTTGTGCAGGTATTAAACTTATATAATGACTTTATTAAAACGAATATAATACATACCTGGTCGAAGGGGCATTGTTTCCGATGTAAGTGTTTAAGGCAATGCCTACATAAGGTGTGGCCGCAGCCGAGACTGATAGGACTCCGCGGCGGTGCGCCGAATTCGCGGCAACACACCGGACAGTTGAGATAGTCCGTCCACTGAGGCGCCTGGATTGGCATTCTAGACAAATAAATAAATATCATAAAACCTTGTACATATATTTCTTACATATATATTTATTTGTAAACCTATTACTACTTTATTATTGATTTTGACAAAAGCTAGTTATTACTTAATTTTATATTGTTATAATCAGTTTTACCATCAAGAAGTTATGGAAACACATTCAAAGAACTTAGTTTGAGTTTTATTTTAGTGTGGAAAATGACATAGAGCCATAATTGTACACATGAAACTCAAACTCACCATCATGCATCTATTTATATTATCACACAGACTCTCGTGCTAGGTGAACCGGTCACTACAAGGTTTTTACACATCTTATGGACACCTGCATGACACGAGTAGTCGAGCCAGTCCAGTATTCAATTAAAAATAGAAGAGAAGTTCTATATCATTGAACTGGCTTCAGGACTTCAGATTCATTTACACAAGGCTACAGTGGACTGGCTTACTGGACTATCTGGGCTACTGACATTGTGTAAATGATTTATGCTTATTAAACTTTTATACATCCTCTCCAGCTTGTACATCTGTTATGGACCAGGTGATTGATGCCGGCACTATTAATAATGTGCAAGCATTATGAATAACGTCAACCTCTATCGGGCTAAGTGGATAATTTCTATGTAAACTTCATTATTTTTCACATTGCAAGGTTATGATTATACTGCTATATGACAATTGAGCAATTTGATAATAAAGCTAAATTGGATGTGGTGCAGTACACGTGACACATGCTTCTACTATCTATCTATATCTTCATACCATATCCTTTGTGGGGTAGGTAGAGAGAACCAAAAGCCACAACAACATACTATACATATAAAACTGAATTGTAGTTCAGTTTTTTAACAGATAATAAAGATAATGATCACAAAAACAAAGTTATTTGAGCCTTTTAGGTCACATGGTAAAAATAGATTAGAAATCTTCATATTTTAATTTTATATGGTTTGTGTTATCTATATTTTTAATATTACTTTCCATAGGTTTTAAATGCATAAACTAATAGATTCTTAATGTATGAAGTCCTTTCTTATTAATCTAAATAATAAGACTGATCTCATTTATGTTGTTGGGCTAGACAGAAGTCAAGAGTAAGCATGTTATAAAAAAAATGTCAATAATAATTACTGATTAAATTAGTTTATATTACTCTGCCCAACAAGTAAAGAACAATCAAAAAATATTGCCCTGTTGATTTGATTATTTCAATATTTATGATCAAATTGGGAAGCACTTTAGAATCAGTGACTATACCAATGTGCACCCAAGGGGTGGTGGGGGAGTGGGTAGTGGGAACACACTCTCCCCACCACACACCAAAATGTGGACAAGTTAAATTTTACGTATTTAAAAAAAATTGTATCTCAGAAACTAACAAACTCTGCAACTTGACACTTTGTAAAATTAAAGCTCTTTAGCATTTGTGCATATAAAAAATATATCAATACAATCTAGGTAGTCAATCAATCTAGTTTCTTATATTGGACATTTTTCATAATGACCAGACATTATATATAATTATTAGTTTATCACTTAGTCCATAACATTTTTATCAATATGTTAGTGTACGTGTCTTTGCCAATCTTATTAGTTCAAAGTATAAATATCAATTTTACATTTCCTCATTTATGGTTTCACCAATAATAAGTATGCTAGTTCTTTACCGTGGAGTTGACTTTCATAGTATTTATGAACATATTATAGTATTAATTGGACCTTTTCAAGTACATGATAATATCACAAACAACAATTACAATTATGCTTTTATTGCGACACAAATGATAATGTGACTCAAAAACAACTCATCAACAAAATTATTTATGAAAACTTATGTATATGTAATGTATGGGTCTATCTAAGAAGAAATATTTAGAAATTTGAATAGTACTAATAACTTTTATGACCTTGCATAATTTATTCCATTATCTTCAATAATAGAAATTGTGTATATAATGAGTAACTTAAAAATATGACAGGCTTTTATGTCTTTGTTAAGTGTAGATATTAGAATATTGATTTAAGAAAGCAAAGTTCTTAAAGATCAATATCCACAATTTTGAGGCATTGATAATGTGAAATAAAATAAATGAAATGACTGATAATAGTTAATAGTAAGACTTTGTAAACAATGAGGATTAAATTAGACATTATGTATTTCACCCCTCTTTTGGGCAAAAAACAGCCATTATAGATGTTCTTCTTTAGGTAAATAATAGTAGTTTACAAATACTTACTTCTTCCTAAACGATAGTACAGTTAGAACTCACATAAAATGTTAAAGGTAGATAATTCCTAGTAATTCTTTAACTATCGACAAATATATGTTATAAAGTCTTCTCCAGTGTATAGGTTTTTCGTCGAATTAATGATACTTTGTGATAATCTTTTTATAACGTATATCAGCGCTCGGCAACTTAAGGGAAAATAATACAAAAATATTGTAGGTAAATCTAAAATATTGTGACATCAAAAATTGCCACCTAAGCAGTCATCAGGTAAGTCCCGAAGAGGGCGAATTCTTTGTACAACGCATACAACATGTAAGGGCATCTTAAAGGGTTATTAAAACTTATGAATACAAAAATTTACCTTACAAATAATACGAAAACTCATCACAAAAATAACACATTCAATTTTTGCCCACTTCAAAACATGATCCGTCAGCAGCCGTAAACCACAGACTTTTTTTTAGCCAAAGATCTGGTGACCATGCAGCCTTGTCCTTAGTATTAAACTGTTTTACTTTCTTTTATATAAAGTGCATGTCTTATAGCTTTCAAGTATTTGAATACCTATAGAAAAAGACAAATAGCCTCTGTACTTGATATCTCGCTCTGTTTTCTTTCAGCTGAGAGTGCTCTTTCTATGCTAAGTTCTAAATCCATGCTCCTACATTCTGCAAGAATAGCTAGACCTACTGAAAGTCATCAAAAAGTAGTCATCATGATAAACTAGATCTCTTGTTTATCATGGCGACTACCTTCATAATGATAAACTAGAGATAAAAAGCTATATATATTTTCTTAATTTCATTTGTCTGCCATGGACCAACGCAAAAACAAAGAGTAATAGTAAGAGAATAAAAATATGACATAAACTAATCAAAAAGAATGACGCTTTCCAGCCAGTTGCCTACATTCCCGCCCCCAGTGGAACACTAACTCTCGGTGGCGACTTACTGGGTCACTATCAGAACTAATTTACTAGCCGGGCGGCGTAATGTATAATGATAATATAGACATAATGCATACCCGACCATCTGAGCCAGTGAACATTTTTGTGACCTTACCTAAAGGCCACAATCTTTGCAGTAAGGATCGGTTACAATAACCACGTCCCCCTCTTTGAAGTTTATAGAGTCCCTTTGGCGTTTCTTGGGCAAAGTGTGTGTAAATATTCCTTTATCCACCGTGCCCAAAAATAACCAACTACGATCAAGAAATGAAAGGGTGTTCATAATTCTGGTGCTTCAGATGAGCTAGGTAAGAGGTCTAGAGTTCACGATGGCCTTGACTTCCGCAAGAAGTGTTGCAAATATGTCTTCCCTGGGGTGACGTTTATCTTTAAGGCAGGCCTTATCGTTTCTCCTGGCGACGTCCGACGGTTATAATGTGTGGTCCTAAAATAATCCAGTCCCGAGTACGCGAATATCCTCTTGTGATGGTCTAGATTTTCTATCGGTAAATCTCCAGTTTGAGATGTGCTTAATCGGCTTTTGAATATGTGACAGTGCATGCAAGAGATCGATACTACATTTTTGAAGGTGCTTCTGGATTTCAGGAATCAAAATTTCTGACGAATACCGTTTCGTTGAAAACGTGCGCTAGTTTTACGTGATATGAAAGTATTAAAAGTTGGACAATCTGATGTTAGCCATCAAGAATTAGAGGAGACTTTATATTAACATCAACAGCTGGTGTAGATTTTATGCGTGTGTCGAGCTTGAGGAGGCCATCGTCGTCAAAGATGGGTACAAGTGACGCAATCCTCTATTTTTGCGCACGGTCAGCGAAACTTAAAGGCTCTTGATCTCCTGAGTTAAGCTATCTATTTGTGAATGCCGTAAGAGAATCTTCTCAGCTAATTGCAGATCTGCGCCATATAGAGAGGAGGACGTGGCACTAGCTTGATAATGTATAGGGACAAAATGTATAGAATTAGTTTCCACACACTGAGATCTATTTGAAGTTTCCATTCTTTAAACTTAGGCATCGTCAGCCACGTTAAGCCACAGATGGCCCTGGTGAGGCCTGGTTATTTGCATGGCAATGGACCCACGATTCGGTACCAATAATAAATGTGTTACCGGAATAATTTGACTAATCCAAGGTCTTTAATTTTGCGAATTTTGCCTCCAATTGGAAACATTTGGAATAAGTTTTAGTGGGTGATGATGTTTAGTATTATCAATGTTCCGCGTTGCGAGGTGTGCCATGAGCGCAGGTTGTGTTGCAACGGAGGGTACACCTCTCGAAGGTTGCGCGATGGTGGAAGGCAATATTGAATTATCATTCGCGAAGTTTAACCTGACTACGCGTGTTTACCATTGTGATGACGATGAAATGATGCTACGTAACAATTTACCTACGAATATTGTGATTATTACTTGAATAATAATGAATTAAAAAATTGTGACAATACATGGAAATATAAAAACTGGTTTACAAATACTTATGGATCGAATGGACCTTATGACCTTATTATAGTGCGTGGTTAATGCTCACTCCAAAGAGAACTTAACTATGTTTTGCTCCACTACAGATTATTCACTATATAATCTGTGGTTTGTTCTTTGTTGACGACTTAAATAATGACATAAAAATAACCTTACTTTCCACTGCAAACGAAATTAATTTTAAATTCACGTTTTATCTAAAACAATACGCTATTATTAAAACCATTGACAGACACCCATCCATTTTTACTGAATTCTAACTTTGGGGTTTTAAAATTGATGTGCCTACATATAAATATTAGATATTTTTTACAA